CAATGTCTGTTCTCTTTCTGGAAGCATTTTTATTAATTAATTATAAGATTAATGGACTTCATTTTTAAGAGCAGTTCAGGTTTACAGAAAAACTGAGCAAGTAGTACAGCAAATTCCCATATACCCACTCTCTACCACCATAGTATAATTGTTTTTCTTATGATAATATCTGTATTAGTATTGTATATTTGTTGCCACTAATGATCTATTATGGATAATGTAATGCTTTACATTACAGTCAGACTTCATGTTCAGTTCTGTGTGTTTTCTTCTCTTTTTATGTATTTGGTACAGGGTCTCACTACGCAGTTCAGACTTGGAGTGATTCTCCTGTTTTCAGCCTCCCGATTACAGGCATATGCCATCCCCGGACTCGGTTGCTGGCTCAGCGTGCCTAGAGGCGGGGCATGTGCAGCATGCAGGTCCTAGGATTGAACCCTTGTCCCTGCGCTTGCCAAGGCAGGCATTAGTCCGCAGAGCTACCTCACAAGGCCTACTTCTGTGCTTTTGATTAATAGACAATGTGGTGTATCCAGTACAGTATTATACACAACGGTTTTGCTGTCCTAAAAGTTCCCCGTAATTCATCACTTCATCTTTCATACTCTTGCTCCCTCCCTCATCCCAACCCTTGGCAATCACTGATCTTTCCATTGTATCTTTAGTTCTGCCTTTCCCAAAATGTCACATAGCTGCTATCATACACTATGCAGCCTCCTTGGACTGGCTTTTCACACTTAGCAATATGCATTTAAGAGGGCTGGCCAAATAGCTCAATGGATTAAAGCACCTGCAAGCAGGCACAGGGGCCAGGGTTTCAATCCCTAAAGCTGCCGTGCAGGCCCTGACCCCGGGGCATGCAGAGGTGGCAATTGAGACTGGGCACGGTGGTGCGCGCCTGTAATCCCAGCTCTGTTTTTTTGTTGTTGTTGTTGTTGTCGTTTTCCTTTTTCTTTTTGGTGGAACTGGGGATTGAACTCAGGCCCTTGTGCTTGCCAGGGAAGTGCTTATTCTACTGAGCCATCTCCCCGGCTCCTATTCCCAGCTCTTGGGAGGCTGTGAACAGGCGGATCACTAGGGGTCCAATCTAGGAGTGAGACCCTGAACACCCTGTCAACCCTTCCCTAAAGTACAAAAAAAAAAAAAAAAAAAAAAAAAAGCATTTAAGGACCTGCCATACCTTTGCATGGCCTGATTGCTCATTTCTTTTTGTGATTGAGTATCATTTCAATATATGAATGCATGTTTTATCTTTTCATCTATTAAAAGATAGCATCTTCTTCCAGCTTTCTGCAGTTCTGAATGAAGCTTCTGTAAACATCTATGTGTAGGTTTCTGTGTGGACCTAGCTTTCAGTTTACGTGGGTAAATACACAGAAGGATGACGGCTGGATCATTGATAAAACTGCTTAGTTTCTCAGAAACTCTCAGATTGTCTTGCAAAGTTACTGTATCATTTTGTATTCTTGCCACCAAGAGATAGCTGGTGGCTCTCCATTCTGTCCACCACTTGCTGCTGTGGGCTTTTAGCTTTTCTCATAGGTTTATGAAGTAGTGTGTCATCATTGATTTAAACTGTGACTCCCTGATGGAGTGTGATGCGTGTCTTTCTCAGTGATGTATCTGTTCATATCTTTTGATCATTTTTAGTTATATTCTTTTTTTCTTATTGTGTAGTTCAAGAGTTATTTGTATATATTGGATACAAATTCTTAATCAGATGTATATTTTTCAAAATATTTTCTCCTAGTCTGTGGTTTATCTTTTTATTCCTATTATGGCTTGTGTGTAGATGTCCCCCAAAAGACTCACACAGGCATGGAGGGGGCTTTCATGGAGGTGGCTAAGTCTAGAGTGTGTGACTGACTCGTGGCCCAATTAAGGATGAAGGGTGGGTGATGAGTAAATCGGTCCACCGATTGGTGTGGCACTGTTCCAATCCCAGCAAACCTGAACAAAATAAAGGGGACAGAAGAAGGCTTGTCTTGTCGCTTGCTCGCTTTGCTGCCCTCTGCCCACCATGAGCTGTTTGTCCTCTGTGAAGCCCCTCTGCCATCACCCTGCCTTAGAGACAGCCATTTCAGGGCTGAAACCTCTCTGAACTGTGAGCTAAATAAGGCTTCTGTCCCTTAACTTTGGGTGTTGGGTATTTTGTCTCAGCAATGAGAAAAGTAGACACTCCCTTTGCAGTATCTGCTAAGCAATGACATCCATCGTAACAGTTTTTTCTTTTCTTTTATGGATTATGATTTTGATGTGGTATCTAAAATGTCACCTCTAAGCCCCCAAATCACCTACATTTTCTATGTTGTGTTCTACAAGTTTATAATTTTGCATTTCACATTTATATCAGTGATTGATTTTGAGCTACTTTTCTTGTGAAAATAACAAGATCAATGTCTAGATTCTTCTCCCTGCTTTTTCTCTTATTCTCCATCCCCCTTTTTCTCCTTGTCTTCTCCTCTTCCTTTGCCTCCTCCTCATTCTTCTTACATGTCTTATTGTTATAGCACATTTCTTTAGACTACTCTTTCCCTGTTTAGTTGCCCTTTTCCCCTGTGTCAAAAACAAGTTGGACTGGGCCAGGGATATGGCTCAGTGGCACAGTGCCTGCCTGGCTCAGTGGACTAAAGCGACTGCTTAGGCAGATCGTAGCCAGAGTTAGATCCCTGGTGTGCCGTGCCGCTCTGGCTGCAGGATGTGCTGAGGCATTGACTGAGACTGGGTGTGGTGGCACATTCCTGTAATCCCAGTGCTTGGAAGGCTGAAAACAGGAGAATCACTATGAGTCCTATCTATGTAGTGAGACTCTGTACTAAACACATTAAAAAAAAAAGTTGACTTTGTTTATGTGGGTCTAATTCTGAGCTCTCTATTCTTTTCTGTAGATTTATGTGCCTATATTTTTGCCAACATCGCACTTTCCTGATTATTGAGATAGGATAGTGTCATTTGTCTAAGTTTGTACTTTAAAAATTTTTTTGCCTCTGAATGGGTAATACTGCACTTTCTTGGTTTTTAAATTTTTTAAAAAAATCTTTATTTATTTGTTTATTTGGTACTGGGTCTCACTGTGCAGCTTGGATTCATAATGATCCTCATGTTTCAGCCTGCCCAGCACTAGGATTATAGGCATGTACCACCATGCCCCATTTCCATGACCAGCACAGTGTGCCTGGGGTTCCTGGGCTGGCATGGCCTGGAGGGTCCTTGTGCTTGCCAGGGAGGCACTTAGACTGCCGAGCTATCTTCCCAGCCCACTTTCGTGGTTTTACGCATGGCTAATAGGTTTCATTTTTAAATGCCAGACATGGTAAATATTATAATGATGTATTGTAATATTATAATATTATAACTTTAAATAATCAATTTCTGTCCAACTCCTCAGAGGTTATAGTTCCTGCTTATTGTAGGTTGTGCTTGTTTAATGACCTTTCTAAGCTATTTTTGTGTGTTGATTCATTTATTCTTGTGGTTCTGGGGTTGGGGATTAAACCCTGGGTCTTGTGTACACCCTAGGCAAGTGCCCCACCACTGAGCTACATCCCCAGCTCTTATATTGTTGTCAAGACTGTGTGTCATCTGGGGACACTGAGTGCGCTGTTCTTCTACATCTGTGCTCAGTGGGCTATTGGAGGTTTCCTTAAACCCTTGGAGAAAAACTCAAACAAAACACTAGATACAAAGCCAAAACTCACTAGCTCTGTGTTGATGTGTTCCTCCTACGCTCATCCGAGCCATTCAGGACTCTGACTTAGTCTTCTTCACCTCTTGCTTTTAGAGAGCCCAAACTTCCTGCCAGAAGTGAGAGTGGGGCATTTTCTCTGGTGTTCTCCAAGCATGAGTCCAGCTCTGGGCATGTGTGTGGACATCTAGATTTCCTGGCGCTCATGGAGCTTTCCAAAGTCTTTTATCTCCTGGGCATTTCCTTTTCCAGCCTCCTCCTTCTCTGGCTTTTCAGTATGTCTGCTGTTTGCCCCTCACTCTTGCCCCAGTTGGCTGCAGCTAGTGCATTTTCCTTTTAATGTTTTCAATAAATACTACCCAAGAGGCTGCTCTGGCTCTGAGAAGGTTATGGGCTATGTGTTGAACAAAGGGTAGTCCCCAAGAGAACCCCGTAAGGAGCCACTGGACAGTCAAAATACATCACTACCATTCTTGGCTAAAATGGTCTGTATTGTCCCCTCTAAAATCAGCAAGTTGCATAACAGTGGAAAATATAAAATTATGAGGACAGAAATCACTGTATCAATAAATGAAGAAATCACTGAGAATTACATAGGAGCTTACAAGTAATCAGTCTTTGTTCATCTTGATGTATGTTCTATTTCTAGAACTTGGCTTCAAATCAGAGTGCTCAGAAGAGCAGCTACCCTTCGGAACCATCACTGCATCATGACCCAAGACAAAGAACCTGTTATTAGAACCTTTCATTTAGTTTGTACCGTGACCTTAATAGTTGGAGCCATAACCCATCTCTGTGAACAAAGTGAATTTGAAGTGTGCATGTCAAAAAGTAACCTTACTCACATTCCAAAAAACCTGCTGCCAACAACCAAAAGCTTAGATATGTCTCAAAACCACATATCTGAGCTTCAGATCTCTGACATCGGCTTCTTATCAGGGCTGAAAGTTCTGAAACTTTCCCATAATAGAATCCAGACCCTGGATTTGAGTGTTTTCAAGTTCAATCGGAACTTGGAGCATTTGGACCTATCTCATAATCGGCTCCATAGGATGACCTGCTACCTTGTGACAAGTCTGAAGCATCTGGACCTCTCATTCAATGACTTCAATGTGCTGCCTGCCTGTGCGCAATTTGGCAACCTGACACAGCTCAGCTTCCTGGGATTAAGTGCTGTGAGGTTTCAAAAGTTAGATCTGCTACCAGTCACTTACCTAAATCTAAATCACCTCCTTCTGGTTTTGGGAGGCAATTATGTGGAGGAAAATGTCAGAGAGAATCTTCCAATTCTGAATACAAAAACACTTCACTTTGTTTTTCACCCAAAAAGTTTATTCTCTGTCCAGATGAACATAGCAGTTAAAAATTTAGAGTGCTTGCAACTGACTAATATTAAGTTGAATGATGAGAACTGTCAGGTTTTTGTTACATTTTTATTAGGGCTCACTGGAGGTCCAATGTTGCTGAATCTCACTCTCAATCACATGGAAACCCCTTGGACCTGCTTGGTTAGCATTTTTCGATTCCTTTGGCCGAGACCTGTGGAACATCTCAACATTTACAACTTAACAATAGATGAAAAAGTTGAGGAGATAAAATTTGTTTATCCTGAAACAACTTTAAAATCTGTGACAATAGAACATATTACAAAGAGAGTTTTTCTTTTTTCTCAGACAGTGTTATACAGGGTCTTCTCTGAGATGAATATTATGATGTTAACCATATCAGACACACCCCTGGTTCACATGCTGTGTCCCGACAAAGCCAGCACATTTAGGTTTTTGAACTTTAGTCAGAATGTGTTCACAGATAGTGTTTTTGGCACATGTTCCACTTTGGCGAGGCTGGAGACGCTTATCCTGCAAAAGAATAGTTTAAAAAACCTTTTCAGAGTAAGCCTTATGACTAAAAAGATGGCATCTTTAGAAATCCTGGATCTTAGTAGGAATTCTCTGGGATCTTATACATATGAAGACAATTGCACTTGGGTTAAGAGTATAGTGCTGTTAAATTTGTCCTCAAATACACTTACTGACTCTGTATTCAGATGTTTGCCTCCCAAAGTCCAGGTGCTTGACCTTCACAACAACAGAATAACCAACATCCCAAAGGATGTCGCCTATCTGGAATCTTTGCAAGAGCTCAATGTTGCCTTCAATTCTTTAACTGACCTTCCTGGGTGTGGTACCTTCAGCAGCCTTGCTGCCCTCATCATGGACCATAATTCCGTCTCCCACCCATCAGCTGATTTCTTCCAAAGCTGCCAGAAGATTACTTCGCTGAAAGCAGGGAACAACCCATTCCAGTGCACGTGTGAGTTAAGAGAATTCGTCAAAAGTATGGGCCAAGTGTCAAGTGCAGTGGTACAGGACTGGCCAAATTCTTACAAGTGTCACTCTCCAGACAGCTATAAGGGAACCTTGCTAAAGGCCTTCCATGTGTCTCCATTGTCCTGCAACACGACTCTGCTCATCCTGACCATTGTGGTCACCACGCTGGTTCTGGCTGCTATTGTGACCTTCCTGTGCTGCTACTTCGATATGCCCTGGTACCTCAGGATGATGTGTCAGTGGACCCAGACCCGGCACAGGGCCAGGAATGTCCCCTTAGAGGAACTCCAAAGAAATCTTCAGTTTCATGCTTTTATCTCCTATAGTGGACTTGATTCTGTCTGGGTGAAGAATGAACTACTACCAAACCTTGAAAAAGAAAATTTGCGGATCTGCCTCCATGAGAGGAACTTTGTTCCTGGCAAGAGCATTGTGGAAAACATCATAACCTTCATTGAGAAGAGCTACAAGGCCATCTTTGTTTTGTCTCCCAACTTCATCCAGAGTGAGTGGTGCCACTACGAACTCTACTTTGCCCACCACAAGCTTTTCCGGGAAGGGTCTAACAACTTAATCCTGATCTTGCTGAAGCCCATCCCAGAGGACAACATTCCCAGGAAGTACCACAAGCTAAGGGCGCTCATGGCACAGCGGACTTACCTGGAATGGCCCACAGAGAAGAGCAAGCATGGACTGTTTTGGGCTAACATTAGAGCTGCTTTCAATATTAAATTAATCCTAGCCAGTGACTGTGATGATGTGAAACCTTAAAAAAATCAGGAAATCCAGTCTAGTGTCTGATGCATGCGAAGGTTTTAAGTTTCCTTTGGAGATTTTTCATATATATATATATATTTCTTCATATATTTGGGGAACAGTTCATGAAAACCTTATTCCAGCTGAGCTGAGGAACAGGACTGGGAGTGAAGGTGGTGCTTATTTTGCAAATTAGCTACATCTCAGTTCTGGTTTAACTGTTTGTTTTCACATGGAAACAGACCTTTCTGAGTCACTGCTCAATCATGCAGGACAGATTTCCTCTCCTCCCCACTCCAAATGGGTTCTGTGTGATCAAGGGTCTGTGTAGCTTCAGGTCAGTAAGTAAAGAATCCAGGCCAGAGTTGTGTTAGTGGGTTCTAGGCTTGAGCCATAGATCTTATCCGCCTTTGAATGAGCTTTATCATTCTGCTCAGCTTTGGGGCTTGAAAGCCAATTGTTCCAGTGTTGGAATGTAAGAAAGCATGTTTTTTCCATGTCTGAGTAATAGTTCTAATTCCTTGATCCTGATACATAGATACCAGTGGAGACTCACAGCATAAAAATGTATGCATACAAAGGGAAACAAAAGACACAGAAGTACTTGCTTGCCAAGGAAATGTGGGGCCAAATCTACTCATGTGTGTAACTGGATGTTGAGTAGGGTTTTCCTGGTGGTCTTCAAATTCTGCCTCTTGGCCAGAGTTGGCCTGGACACTTGCTCTTTGCTTAAACCATTGCATTTTGGATTCTTTTGACAGAGGAATCATCTCAGTCTGTACCTTTGGCTTTGGGGCTTGAAGCAGTGGACAGCGCTCCTCCTAGGAAAGCACCCTGGGTATTCCACCCTGCAACCTGGAGCAAAGCATATGCCATCCCAAGGCACTACTGGCTCTTACCTATACAATTGCAAAACAGCCTCCTCCCTGGCCTCCTTCCTCACACATTTTCCGAATGACAATCACACTGATTTAAGGTGCAAATTACATTAATCTGTTTCCTGCTTAAAACCTAATGACCTACCTCCCCCAGCAATAGGGTAAAAGTCAAACCCTTCCTGGTGGCTCAGGATCTGTCATGACTGTCTTCCTCGCTCTGAATTCGCCTCTTTCCTGTCCCTCTTGTCTTTCCTTTTGTCTCAGATGCCCTCTGGCTGTTCTGAAGGCCTCACACTGGCTTCTGCCTGTGTTTGCCTGTGCTGGAGCCATTTTCCTCTGAGTCAGCTTAGCTGTCCTCACAGTCAGCATCTCCCTCCGACGCCGCGTGGGCAGAGGTCCATTGTCCCCCGTGGCCTCCTGCATGCTTCTCTCCTTGTTCCTTCACACACTCATCACTCCCTGCACTTACCTTGCTTGTTTCCTGCTTCTCTCCACTCACTGTACGCGCAGGAGAATGGGAGCCTACTCAAGAGTTCACCACTCCTCCCTGTATGTGGCCCATGGCAGATGCACAGTGAAAACCTGCAGGAGCAGACAGCCCCAGTAGGCCTCAGTCATCACAGCCCTCAATTGTACCCTAAAGGACCTTTGGACATGGTAGAGCTGGACTGTGGCAGGGACCCTGGCAGGGTCCACCCTGAGCACCTGTGGCCTGGGGGTCCCTCCCCCAGTGAGTTGCCCCTGCCCTTGAGCTCCTGGGCCTGTGGTGCTCCCCCTGCTGAGGACTCTGTGTGCCTCTCCCTAGGCCATGTAAGAGCAAGAAGACCCCAGGTTTAGCCTAGTACAGAAGCAGGCCTTGCCCTTGGCCCTGTGATTGCTCTCCTGCGGGGGGCCAGAGAACCCTTTTGTTTGGAAGGTCCTAAAAAAGTACCTTTATTTGATCAGCACAAACACCGTAATCATGTGTTGAAATTTCACACTGTGCCTTAAAAGTTGTTTTAAAATGTATATCTAGGGAGTGGAGGGGAAGGGGATAAAGAACTGAGAAGTGCTACATGCATGTGCCAACTCTAGGGATGAATTTACATTCATATATACTGCAAACATGTATCAACACATATATGTAGGAAATTTAAAAAATTTCAAAATTGCTCAAATGATAGATTTTTAAATGCCATACCACAAAGAAATGATAAGTATGTGAGATAATGAGTATGCTAATTAGCCCAATTTAATTACTCCACAATGTTATGTTAAATAACATCATGTTATATCCCACAAATATGTATTGTCAGCAATAAAAATTTAAAAACTAAAAAGCTTATATTCTCTATCATTTCTTGGGTAAATAAAAAAAATGGACTCAAAAAATGCAAAAATAACCCAAACTCCCAGACAGGTAAATTCTCCCTGCACCCCACCTTTGTGCTATGCTTTCGCATGGCCCCCACAACAGCCACAATTTAAGCAGTTTACCTTTGCATGGCTACATTTATCAACCCTGCAAGGGACAGGACACAGCAGAGGTAAGCTCTGACGGGGAAGGTATCCCCCATTTGGGCTGCTCTAACGAGTGCCACGGCCTGGTGCATGAATCACAGAAATGTACTGCTCACAATGCTGGGGGCTGGGAAGTTGGCGATCAAGGTGCTGGCAGAGTCGGGGCGTATGGTGGCCTGCTTTCTGATTTTTTTTTTTTTTTTTTTGTGGAACCAGGGATTGAATTCAGGCCCTTGCACTTGCCAGGCAAACGCTTGTTCTACTGAGCTATCTCCCCGGCCACTTTCTGATTTATAGATGTCTGTCAATCTCACTAACAACAGAAATTGGTTTCCTGGGGCTCTGGAGACCAGAAGTCAGTAATCGGGTGTTGGCAGGAAACTCTGAGGCGGGAATGGTCCATACTCTCACCTGCTGGCTTCTGACAGCTGCTGGGAAGTCTTAGGTGTCACTTGGCTTGTAGATATATTGCCTTTGCCTCACCTGTTCTGTAAGCCTTCTCCTTTTCTGTCTCTTGTAAGGACACTGCTGTTGGATTTAGGGACCATCTTGATCTGAATTTCTGGGCAAAAGAGGGCACTGTTCAACGCAGCACTTGGGCTGGTGTGCCTGTCTCTGATGGCCCAGAGACTCAGCTGCATGTGCCAGGAGGAAAAACTTTCTCGGAAGAAAGAAGGGATCTGAAAAAGTCACTTGGGAAGTCAGAGGTTCAGTGCCAGGAAGGAAGAGGCTGACGAAGAGAGAGATGGATGGATGTCAGGAATGGGGCGGCACAGTGGGTGGAGGGTGGGGATGTACACCAGGCAGGGTGGGAGTTTTAAAGAGAATGAGAATTTATGCACAAACACCGGGAGAAAGAGGAGATGGTTGATTTGATCAGAAAGGAATAAGAATAAATTACAAGCAGTCAAATAGACTTGAGGGGATTTCTGAAGCCACAGGGGCTTTCTGAAGGTTTTAAATTATAATTAATGAAGCATGTCAGCATATTCAAGTTTTAGTGTAAGACAGCTCTTATTTTCCTGTAGGGATTCCAGCATCAGGATCCTGAAATTCTTCCTTTTCCACTCCTGGGTGAGACCTGGGGCACATTTCATACCTCTTCGGTATTTTTGAGTTATTAATACTATATTTTAGTTTAAAAATTATAATGTCAACCAGCTGTGATGGTGCATGCCTGTAATCCCAGCACTCGGGAGGCTGAGGCAGGAGGTGCACCATGAGTTTAAAGCCAACCTGTGTTACATAGTGAGTTCAAGGTTACATAGTGAGTTCGTAGCAATATATGTAACCTCAAGTTCCATCTAAAGCTCATCTTGCACCATGTCATCCGCTAGGCTTATCGTTCAGCCTTGGCATAAGTATGGGGATAAAGTGAGCATGGTTTAGCTGAGACACACATTTCCTGTCATTCTTCCTCTCAGACTGAGCTTTTCCTGTGTGGAGACAAGTGATGAGGGGTAGGAAGGCAGATATTTTTTTCTATAATTGTATTGAATAAGCAATAGGCTGCAGGACAGAGAGACCCTCAAATAAAGGGCTTCAGTAATTTTCTTCCTGCTGGGGAAAGAAAAGAGATCTTCCTAGCATTGAAGGCTGAGAGTCCAAATAGCGTGGTGCTAGCTCAGGTGAGGGCCTCCTGGCTACATCACACCACAGCACATGGCCACATGTTGGGAACATGTGAGGGACAGAGAGATCACACGGTGAGACCTGAGGCCAGAGAGAGAAAGAGCGCGAGAGAGCAAGAGAGCAGGGGCAGACTTTCCCTTCATAACAACCCTCTCAAGAGAACTAGCAAGGATCCCACAAGCACTGCATTGGTCCCTCCAAAGGGCAGCGTCTTCAGTGGCTTAAACAACTTCCACCAGAACTTGCCTCTTAAAGTCCCCACTGCCTCTCAACATTATCACACTGGGGCCGAGCTTTCAACATGCAAGTCCTTGGAGGTGAGCTACATCCACATGACAGCAGACAGAAAGCTGTCTTATTCCATGAGATCACTCAAGGGCTCAGGCTGCCCATTTGGCTTTGGTCCCCAGAGCTCTTGTTTACCTGTTTGCTTTTTTTCCTTTACGTGGAGTCACGGGACCTCATGAGCCCTGCTGTATCTTTTCTGGGATGTAAGGATCAACTGTAAGCCAACCTGAGGCTGAGGCAGGAGGACTGCTGTATGTTTGAGGCCAGCTTGTGTGGTGGTATATAACTATAAATCCTAGAATCACCTCAAGTTGAAGGCCAGCCTGAATTAGAGCAAGACTCTATAAAAAAGGGGGGGATGGGAGAAAAGGGGATTAAATAAGTTTAGTGACATTATCAAAGTTACATAAAGGCTGGCACGATAGCTCAGAGGGCTAATATGCACCTGCTTAGGCAAGTGCAAGGGCTGGAACCTCAAACCACATGCTGCATGGGCCCTGCCCCTGGGCACACTGAGCTGGTTGAAAACAGGAGGATCACTATGAGTCTAAGCTGTGTAGTGAGACCCTGCACAAGATACAAAAAAAAAAAAATGTACATAGAGGAGAGAATGGTGCCAGTCTTTTCACTTCCAACATCCTATAATATGTCTAGTATTCTTCAAGTGATTCAAAGCCAAAGAGGTAAGAGATCATTTCAGTGTACTTTCAGTGAATTCTGGCATTTGTGTCATTCCCCTCCCTTCTTCCCCTCCCCAATAGCCTCCTGTCCCTCCCAGCACAGCTCTGTTCCTACTGCAGTGGTAATCAAAGTTTTTCTTCCAAGCAGTTATTACAACTCCTAGCTGTATTCTCCTCCCTCATCTTAGTCAGTTTAAGAAACCAAAATTATCCATCCTTCCCTCCACAACACACAAAATGAGAATTCTTTCGAGTTATTTTGTCTTTAATAACCCGGCAATAATTCAAAACTTGTTTCCTTTAATGGGGGATGCCACCATCAATGCCACACACTGCATTATCAAAGGCAATGAAGAGACTGGATTCCAAAGACCCTGATGGTAAGAAGCCTTCTGGGCTCACGGACTGATGGCTGGTTATGGAGTCTTGAAGGGCAGCAGGAGGCAGACAAGACAGGAAGAGAAGGAGCCTTCTTCAGAGGGCCGGGTGCAGTTGCTGGGTCATGAGTACCTTGAAGCGCTTCTTGATGGTGATTTGGTGTCGCAAGTATTTGTCCATTGGGGAGAACCAAGCAGGATAGGCTCAGCATGACTGTTGTCCTATTGGGTCAGATTTCTTTGGTGTATACACCTGGTTCAAGTAATACTGGAGAAACATGGCCATGCAACTCTGTCACTCCTCCACCACAGCCACCGCTCCAATATTTCCATTTTAATGTTTAGATCTTTGGTCTATTTGGGTTATAGTTAGGTACATGGGCCCAGGTTCTGTCTTCTGCAAACAAATACACGTCTTCCCTAAATATGACTTTAGGGCCTTTATCAAAGATCAAATAGCTGACTGTGTCTGTAGATGTTTCTTTTTTAAAAAATGTACTTCAAATTTATTTGCAAGTTCAAACACTGATTTAACATCACACTTCTTATGCAGGTAATGGAGAAATCCTAGAGTTAGCAGCAGCCCCACTAAAGAAACCCAAGCTCGTCTTCAAAGCAACATCCCCAGCAGGCTCACGCCCTTTGCAATCTATGTCGCTAAAGGAAGAGTCATCTGAGAGCAAGAGAGTGGATTCTAGGAGCTCACTGT